GCCCTTTCCCTTATCTAGAGGAGCAGTTTTCCTTTGTATCACTCAGGGGAAAGGGGGGGGGTTTGAAGAGCCAGAACTACGCCCTATGAGCCATATCCCAAAATAGCCAGCCCTGAAGTGCTGCTGGTTGGAAGGTGGGGGGGACTAAGAAACTAAGTTGGGAAGAATAAAAAATTAAGAAGGAAAGGTTAGCTAAGTCTTAGCTCTGCACTCAGCTCATCCACTGACTTGTCCAGAGACACCCTCCCCACCAGGACCTTTATTTTATTGTGTGTCACCCTTCTGCCCCCAGCACACACACACACGCATACAAGTGCGCATGTACATGAGTGGGAGGATTCTCTCTGCTGGCCAACACTGAGCGGTCCTTCCGGGACCCTTTCAGGATTGCTGAGGAGTAAGAGAGACTCTACCTCTTCAAGCAAGAAGCAGAATATAACTTAACAGAGGTATAATCAGAAGGGAAGTCAGGACATCTAGAAAATGTTTCTAAAAGTGTGGTCCCCAGAACAACAGCAGCAGCATGTGAGAATTTGTTAGAAATACAAATTGGGGCGCCTGGGTGGTTTGGTCAGTTAAGCGTCTGACTTTGGCTCAGATCAATCTCAGGGTTTGTGGGTTCGAGCCCCGCGTCGGGCTGTGTGCTAACAGCTCAGAGCCTGGAGCCTGCTTCAGATTCTGTGTCTCTCTCCCTATCCCTCTCCTGCTCACTCACTCTCTCTCAAAAATATATAAACATTAAAAAAAAAAAAAAAAAAAGAAATACAAATCAGTCCCGCTCCAGACCTACTGAAATCAGAAAGTCTGGGGAGGGGGTGTGGCACCACACCATCTGTGTTTTAACACACCTGAAGAATGCTCGATCTAGATTCAAGCCCTGCCCCGCATTTCACAGAGAAGGCGACCAAGGTTCTGAGAGGTTCCACGACTCACCCAGGGTCATCCAAACCATACCTGGTTGTTACTCTCTGTCTTTTTTTTTTTTTTTAAAGGTTATTTATTTATTTTGAGAGAGTCAGAGAGCGTGTGAACAGGGGAGGTGCAAAGAGAGAGGGAGCATCTCGAGCTGGCTGTCAGCTCAGAGCCTGACACAGGGCTCGAACTCACGAACTGGGAGATCCTAACCTGAGCTGAAGTCAAGACCAGAAGCTCAACCAACTGAGCCACCCAGGCACACCCCCAGGCTGTTACTCTTAATAGAGCTGAATCCTCTAAGTAAGCGGATGATAATGTGAAGCTGAACAAAGCTGGAAAAGGCAGCACTGGGAGGAAACGTTTAGAGCGCGCTCTGCAGCCAGGCTCCCCACTCCCGAGTCCCTGCTCTGCCATCACTAGCCTTGGGAGTGGGACAAGTTATTTAACCTCTGGCCCACTTCCCTGTCTGTAGAAGAGGAACAGCAGTAGAGCCTCCGTCAAGCCTAGGATAGTTTTGAGGACTGAGCAGAGAGTGTGTCTCATGTAAGAAGGACGGAAAGAAAGAAAAGGAAGAGGATTGACGGAGCCTGCAGTTTCCTGGCCTGGAGGAGCAGTGGCCGAGCCGGAAATGCTGGGAATAGCAGCTCCCTTGGCCACTAGGACAGGAGCCTCTGAGGCAAGGTGCGAGCACGCACTTTCACGGCAGCCCTGTGGTTTTGGCTACAAGACCCAGGGCTCTCTCTACCCCCAACCGCTAGGGCAGGAGCCGGCTGCCAGTCCAGAGACCAGGCTACAGGGGGACCCAAGCCCCAGCTGACTCCTGATGGCCCTGATGGGGCTCTGGCTGGGAGTCGGGGGGCGGGGGGTGATGGGTCTACCTGGTCCCTGCACTGAACCCTAGGGCTCAAGTTTCCCCTGCACCTTTCAGCTAACAAGGATTGGATGCTCGCTGTAGGTAGGAATGCCACATGGACTCGTACCTGGGGTAATTAGCACCATCCCCCCAACCCCCATGCTAACCCCCTTTCTCATTTAATCTCATCTCCATGTAACAGTTGAAGAACTTGGAGCCTCAGAGGGGTTAGGCATCTTGCTCACAGTCACACAGCTGCTAAGGGGCAGTGCCAGGACTGCGGCTCAGATGTCTGCGAGCAAAGCAGGGCCCTTCACCACCCTGAACCCCTGCAGGGTTGGGTCCTGCGGTCTGTCCATCCCTGCCTTAGGCCAGAGGAAGCAGCGGGGGACTGAGGACTCAGCATGGAGGACCATCTGCACAGCTGCCCTAAAGCAGGTGTAAATGCCACCCCCAAATACGCCGCATTGGCATAGGATTATTTTGAACCGGAGGATGCAGAAAGAAGCCTTCCAGGAGCTTCCCTTATCTGACCAGAAGCAGAAGTTCCTGAGAAACGAAGATAGCCATAAATCCTCTCTCCCAGGGATGGTTTCTGGCTGCGAAGATGAAAGGTGGTGCTGAGATGAAAACTTGCTCCATTAGTTTCTCCCATATATTTACCTTCCCATTTGTTTTGCCACTTCTCTACAAATTTACTGTTCTTGCCTAACATGCTAAATAAGCCCCCAGTTCTAACCACCCTGAGGGGTTACTTCATCACTGTTTTTCTCCTGTTAATCTGTTTTTTGTCATTCTAATAGGCAGGGCACCTAATACACACCCTGGGTGTGGCCAGCAGCTGTAAAGGGCCCCCAGCAGCAGGCTCAGGCCACAGCAGACCGTGAGGCCTCCTGTCCTGCAGGGGGATTGAGGGCCGGGGTGGGGAAGGGGTGAGTCCCTGCGGGTTCTGCACACCCCTAGCATAGCAGTTCCCTGATTAGGAGCCTGGAGTCCAGCTCCTTGCTTCCTGTGTGAACTTGGGCATGTGGATTCACTGCTCTATGCCTCAGTATCCTCATCTGTAAAATGGGACTTAAATGTGAAGATTGAAAGAGATATTGTAACACAGACCACTTGGCATACACAGTTACGTGCTCAATAAATGTGAGGTTTTGCATAACCAGAGCAACCCAAAACAATCTCAGGGACCATGAGAAGAGCAGAAGGGGCTTCATACAATTTTCACACAATTACCCGACAGGACCAAGCGTGAGCCTTACAACAACTCTAGCTTTTTGTTATACTGGAAGGACAGAGGTCTGTTTATTTCTGAATTTGCATTTTGGTGGCTCTGAATATACTGAGAATACAAAATGAGACACTGAAGCCAAAAACTCCCCCAGAGGCTGGTTTCTGAAAATCAGTCAGTCAGTGTCAAGTTTTGCAATGGCGCTGGGTTTCTGCTCTAACCATGACAACACCATTTAAAAAAAAAAAAAATAATAATAATAATAAGTTAAGGGGTGGTTCCTCTCTCAGATAAAAAGTAGGCTCTTCCGGTAAGACAGTGTTCCTTAAATGTTGGCAGCACCAGCAATATCTGGGAGCCTGTTAAGAGTTCAGATTCTGGAGACTCTGATTCTGTGGGGCTGGGCTGGTCCAGGAGCCACCACAGCTGCTGGTCTGGGGACAGCACTTGCAGTGGCCAGGCTCGCCCGGAGTTTCCAGCCAGTTTTAATGCTTCACCGAGAATCCACTTAAATACAGGTCTGTTGTACAAAGCAAAATATACAAATAGTGATAATTTCCCCCAGAATCTTATGCCTTTTGGGTTGTGACTGATTTTCAGAATTTATTTATTTATCTTAAAATTTATTTATTTTGAGAGAGGGAGAGGGAGGGAGAGAGAGAGTGCAAGGGAGGTGAAGAGGGAGAGCGAGAATCCCAAGCAGGTTCTGTGCTGTCAGTGCAGAGCCGACCTTGGGGTCCTAAACTGAGCCAAAATCAAGTCGGTCACTTTGACTGAGCCACCCAGGCGCCCCTATTTTCAGAATTTTTTAAAAACTTTTTTGATGTTTATTTATTATTGGGAGAGAGAGTACAAGCGGGGGAGAGGCAGGGAGAGAGAGGAAGACACAGAATCTGAAGCAGGTGCCATGCTCTGAGCTGTTAGCACAGAGCCCGATGTGGGGCTCGAACTCAAGAACTGTGAGATCAATTCCTGAGCTGACGTCGGATGCTTAACTGACTGAGCCACCCAGCTGTCCCCCCGTTTTCAGAATTTAAAAGTAATCTTTATATTCATTCATTTCCCCAAGATGGATTAGGATAATTACACTTAAACAACTTTTTTATTGGGGTGCCTGGGTGGCTTAGTCGGTTAAGCGTCCGACTTTCGCTTAGGTCATGATCTCGCGGTTTGTGGGTTCGAGCCCTGCGTCGGGCTCTGTGCTGATTGTCGGCTCAGAGCCTGGAGCCTATTTCAGAGTCTGTATCTCCCTCTCTCTCTGACCCTCCCCTGCTCACGTTGTCTCTCTCTCTCTCTCTCTCTCTCTCCTAGAAATAAAAAAAAAAAATTTATTGCTGGAAACCCTTGTGTGCTTGGCACCATGCTCAGTCCTAGGGGATGCTCCTCAGGAGGAAGTGGTGGAGATGGGAACTGAATTGGGGTCTAGAATCAAAGAAAGGAAGACTCAAAAAAATGTACCCCACCCCCAGGCAGAAAAGGGGGTTCTCAGAAAGACTGACGCTACCCAAGGTCTTCAAAGCACAGCACTGACTTTGTCCAAGACCTTCGGGCGTGCCCGGTGCACCAGGGCCCTTTGCGGGGGGGGGGGGGGGGG